TTTCCTATATTTAGAACTTGCACAGCCTATATTTCCTATCAAATTTGTCTAAAAAGTGGCTGGGATGCCTGTCAATATTTGTGTGACTAGTTTTGATACCGTAGTGTCGGTATTGTGTAACATGTATCTACAGTTAATAAGTAGGTTTTTTGTCTTCAATTTTGGGATTTATTGTGAGTTGAATTTTCAATAATAGTTTATTTCTCAATCAKTAAATGAAGTCTTCCTTTAATAGACTTTATCTATAGTCTAGTTTTTACGGCACAGAATTGCCAGCTTTGAGAAAGATCAATTGTTTTTTTGGAGAAGTCTCAGTTAGGCCAGCTTATGAATAAGCTGAAGACACAATAAAAGCTTTATTCTACATTTTTAATATAATATTAGTGTCTTTTGACTTTTGAAATAAAATGCTTGCTTTTTAAATTTTAACATTCAAAGCAACACAAGCATCAGATTTTAACAAATTAATATTCATATTATTCTTTTTTTGGTTTAGAAGGTTATAATAAGGGTTAGTTTGAGGTAGTGCTTGATGTCAGAGTGTGTTTGTAGTTTAAATTAGTGCAAAATCATTGTCGTGTTCAAAACRTAACACTTAAGCTGAGGCCTAAATGGTACATGGAAAGTATCTAGTAATACAACTCGTGGAGTGTTCAACAGTTGTTGCATTGACAAAAAGCATGGTGGCTTTTAAAGTGCCTATCACCCTTCTGACAATATTCTCAGTCTTGATTCTACATGGGGTAAGATGTTGAATAACCCGAAAAAATTACATAGTTTGAGTGCGGCTTCTTGAAGTTATGAAGGTTTTTCCATGTCATATGCTAATGCTGTGACGTATGTGGAGGCAGTTAATGGTTATTTGTTGTTCCTCGTAATTCGAAACACCGGCTTCTATGGGAAAACTAACTTGCAATTAWTTCTATAAGAGCAATGGGGAAAACAATGACATATTTCAAATTTAATTTATCTGTACCAGTAGTGTTTTGTATATTAAATGATTACTCCTCATAYGTCACAGCATTAGCATATGGCATGGAAAAACMTTTAAGACTTCAAGAAGTTGCACTTAAACTATATATWTTTTTAGTGTTTTTCAACATCTTACCCCATGTAGAATTAATACTGTGTATATTGTCAGAAGGGTGATAGGCACTTTAACACATGTTTAATATCAACTATGTGTGTATCTCAAAGGAATACATCAAAGGGAAAATCCTGTGATTTGCCAGAATACCTTTGTGTCCTAGCTTTCTTGTTCTCTATTTTGAACCAAACCATGATTTTGCAATTTGAGTGTATTTCAAGACATTTTCATTGTTAGTAAAAAAGGAACTGTGCCTGGACTGTTTTATTACAATACTTTTAGTGCCTTTTGATTTAGAGAAAAGATATAAAAACGCTCACTGTCTTGTGAACATCCTTTATGACAAGAATCTTACCAGTGAGGCAACAAGAAGTAAAGCTTAAA